CCCCCGCCCGGCCACCTCCCTCGGCTGAAATTTATATATGCCTACGGGCTGAGGACGAGGAGAGAGGAGAGGGAGGGGGTAGGGACAGGTGCTCGGTGGCGACGAAGCTGTTCCGTCTCCCCTTCGCCTGCGCGCTGCGCGGCGTCTCCTTGCGACCGACTTGTCTCATTCGCGCCAATTAAACAGTATCGTATCGTTGCCGCCGAGTGTGGTGTACTACACAACAGCTCGTAGTACTACTTCCCAACTACGACGCTCTTGCATTCGAGAAGCATTCTTGAATTCGAGAAGTTTCGGTTTAAAAAATATATAGGAGAAAAGCATACACTCACATTTCACTTTCCTAGTTTCGTGTGCCAGGTTCTCTGTTTGTCGGTGTGAGGAGGAGCGACCACCGACGAGCATTCATCTTGACAGAGTTAACATCGAGGTTATGACAGTCCTGTCACTGTGTCGAGCGGGAGGGAAGGAGTGAGGAGGGGAGGGTGCGGGGCGGGGGAGTGGCATGTCAACAGCCCCACTTGTTATGCCGCCTCGTACGTCTGGCGGTGAATTGAGCTACGTGATCACCTGCGGGAGTGCCGACAGAAAGTAGACGTTGTTTGACGAGACTCTTAGCCCAACAAGACGCACAGGGTGTTCGCCCACCCACACCCGCGGTCCAGCGGCGTTGACAAACTGACACGTCACGATGGCATGTTTCTCATTTATATGAAAAGTTCAAACCTGCCCTGCCTAACATGGATGGCTAATGGCAATACACTTATAGTGCTGCGATCCATACACTGGGGTTTCAGGGCCCTGAAAGAGCGTCCAGAAAGTACGTCCGTTCTTTTTCATTCAGAGATTCATTCGGCGAATTAAGGGAGCTGAGCGCCTGCGAGACTCGGCGTAGGCCACACCGCAGTACACGCATGCACTGCAGGCGAGATATTGCCTACCCAACGGGCGCAAGGAGTGTTTGGAGAGGCTGAATTCAGCTGTTTCGTTACGGACGGACTTACTGGATGGCCCGGTATAAGCCTGGACACAAACCCGGCTATTTTGTTGTTGACCCCTCTACTCGACTCGCCCCCCGATGGCAATCTTCCCCCCGGGTCCCCGGTGCGGTCGGCTGGCCGGCGGCCTCACGAGCGTGAGGCAGGAGGCAGGAGGCAGGAGGCAGGAGAGGGGGGGGCAGCACCCGCCGCCATCCGCCTCCCACTCGCGCACAAGGCCCCCTCCCCTCCGACGGATCCCCGCGACCCCCGAGGACCACGCAGGACTCGCCAGCAGTCCGTCTGACCGCCGACTGCGCCTCGTGCGCGCCGTGCTCGTCGACGCCGTCCTGGCCGAGAACGCACTCGCGACACCACGCGGGTAGCGAGCCGCGAGTCTACAGCGTCGCGTAGGGGGTGTCGGGTACGTAATCGTCACCGGGACCAAGAGAGCCACCACCAGCGCAGCCGCAAGCGACCAGGGGCACCCACGTGCGGGGGGTATGGCGAGGGGCTATGCGCGCCGCGGCCCCGGTCGTCCTGGTCGTCGCCGCCGTTCTGGTGGTGCAGACCGCGTGGTGCGCCCGCTTCAGGGACTTTCGCTTCACGACCAAGAACATCTCGTCGACGCTGGATAACCTGCTGGCCGTGGGCAGGTACGACAAGCGGATCCGGCCGGACCTGGGCGGTAAGTAGACTCCAGTGAGTTGTAAGTAGTTTCCAGAGCATGGAAGGCGCAATCTGCGATCATCATCCCCCTTCCACCAGGCCACGCAGGGTAGACATCCTTGAATCCCGACAGGCAAGACAAAACCGTGGTTACACTGTTGCTGTCTGGGCAAACTGGCGAAAGGCCGACAGACAGAAACCGGGTGAAAACACCAGCCGTAAACAAGGCTGGGGGCCGGCTTGACAAAGGGGGGCTCACATCCGAGCCGGCGTGGGGAAGGAAGGAGGGGTTGTGTCTTGCAGCCTAGCGAGACGCGCACGGGGCATGACGTGGCGGGGC